GTATGTATGGCGGCGGCATGCAAGTGGGTGATGCCTTGGGGAGGGGAGGCTGGGTGCTGACCTAGGCTCGGCAGGGAAGGAGGGAAGGGGCTCAGCACCACCAGCCCTGGCTGCCATCAGTGTCTTTCAGTGCTGCTCACGTCCCCTGACGTCGCCTGCTCAGGCCAGGGCTGCCTCTGGTGGTCTCAGCACAGCCCCTGGGGCTTGCGGGCATCTCCTTCTGCCAGCCCAGGGCTGGAGGGAGGTGGCAGGCCTGGCTGTGGGCTGGAGATGCACGCTTTCTCCAGCTGGCTGGCTCTGCTGCTCCTTTCCCTCCGCCACAGCACATCTGGGAGAAGCTCGCCAGCCCCAGACAAACAGCTGCTCTTTTTTCCGTCCGGTTGTGCTGGTCCCTGAAAACACCCCAGGCTCCAAGGTGCCTTGGTATGGGAGAGCTGTGGGGAACCTCTGCAGGCAAGGGCTCTGGGTTGTCCCTGCAAAGGCTGCCCCACCACTGCAGCTCTGTGGAGCGTCCCAGACTGTTTTGCAATGGCCCTGTCATCTGCAAGGGCTTTGACCCGGCAGGCCCAGGCTGTGCCTTTTGCTTGGTGCAAGGTGTCTTTAGCTGAGCTGTCAGCGATGTGGCCAGCACCTCTTTGTCCCACGGGGCTGCCTTGCAGGAGCAGGTACTCCTCGGCCAGTGGTGCTGGGGATTCACCTCATTTCCAGACGCTTGGTCCTGAGGATGTTTTTCTGCTCCAGCCTCACCACCCACCCCAGAAGCAGGCTGTGTTTTGCATCCCTCCTCCCCTGATCTAATAGCCATCCCTCCTGTGTCTTCCAGGAAAGCTATTGCCAAGTCCAGCCTCCAGCACATGGTAGCCCAGCCAAACCCTACGCTAGCCCTGAGGAACGACTCGGAGAGGCAGATACGCGGCACTGTGGACTGGAGTGTAAGTTGTAGCACATTTTGCTGGGCGTTGCATGGGATGGGCTCCTGGCCAAGAAGCAGCAGGCTCTTCCCAGGCTGAGGCTTCCCAGGTGACTTCAGCTTTGACACATTTATGGCCTCCACCATTGCTGCCAGCTGGTGCCAGCGTCTGTGCTGCTGGCAGCACCCCTTGACGCTGCGAGGAAAGGCTGTGCAGGCACAAGTGGTTCCTGGGAGGACAGCATAGCTACTCCTCTGCCAGCTCTTCTGCTCCTGCCAGCCAAGGTCTTCTGGTGGCTGGGGTCAAGCAGCAGGAACAAGCCCCTGCTCATTTGCAGGCAAAGCCTGGCGGGTTTTAAGCCACGTCCTTGGGTCATAGAACAGAAGTTGTTTATGGATAGTCCCCTGTGTTGAATTTGCCCCAATGCCTCCTCTTAGAGGGCCATGGAAGCAGCCCCCCTGTGCAGGACACTGCAACTGGGCTGTGGGTCTTGGAGCTGGTTTCCTGGGGCACTCTCATTTCCAATGGGTGAGCCGTGGCAGCAGCTTCGTGAGGTTTCATCTGTCCAGATGTTGGCCCTGGCTGGTCCATGCATCTTGTCTCCCAGCCTATGCCTAGCTCCAACCCCCCAGCCTTGTCCCAGTGTCTTGTCCCTCACACAAAGCATTTTAGGGTCTTGGATGTCCATCTGGAGGTGCTCTCAGAGAAACGCCTTGTCTTGTGCCTTCCAGGAGACTGCAGTCTATGGGGAGCACATCTGGTTTGAGACCAATGTCTCTGGGGACTTCTGCTACGTCGGGGAACAGAACTGCACAGCGAAGCTGCTGGTGAGTCACCAGGGGTCACCTGCCTCCCCAGCAAGGGTGGCTGAGGTGGGCTGTGCTGCCACCCGGCAGGGACACTGCGATGGCCCTGCTACTGCTGCCGGGTCAAGTGCGGGGGGCTGGGGGTCTGACAAGGGGGTACCATCTCTGCGTGCTGGAGGGCTGCATCCTCACTTTCTGCCGGTGCTGGTGCGCAGTTTGCGATGGGAACCCGACGCAGGGTTGCTGTTCACTCGGAGGTGATACGGTGATATTCCCGGGAGAGGCTGTTGGGATCTCACACCCTTAGACAGAGAATCCGAATCCAGCTTCTCTGGAAAGACCTTTCGGTAGAGGAGGAAAGTGGGTGCTGGAGACCCAGGCCTGCTGCCTCCTGACCCTGCAGACAGTGCTGATCTTGCAGGGTTGCTGCTGTTCTCCTTCCCAGCTTGCAGACTCAGTCCTGCTCGTGGTCTGGACATGGAGCGCTGATGCCATCCTGTGCTTACCCACAGGGCTTACCGTGGGAGGCCTGCAAGTGCCTCCCAGACCAGCTTGCACAGTGCTCTCAGGCAATGTCAGAAGAGGCCAAGGACTGATTAAGCTGTGGGAGAGCACCTCCCTGCTCTGTCACAGACTCAAGAGCATCTGCTCTAGGCACACGCTTAGATCCCTTTACTTGCAAGGAGTCTAGGTGTATATAAATTTCCTAGAGGACTTGTACTGCATCCTGAAATACATGAAGGAGGTGTAATGGGAGGCCAAGCCTGCCAGCCTCTGAACACAGCTATTCACATGCATGTTTTTCCTCCTCTTTTCTCATCCTCCAGCAAAAACCTCTCTCCAGGCGTAAGTGTGCAGCCTGCAAGATCGTAGTGCATACACCCTGCATCGAACAGCTGGAGAAAGTGAGTAGAGCCTGTTAAGCCCTCTCTGTGGCTTGCAAAGCTGTAACAGCCTTTTCCTGGGCAACCCTTCCTCTTGGGTAGTGAAATGCAAAAAACCTGGGGAACTGCAATGTGTCATTGCAAAGAGGGGTCTTCTGAGGACACAATACCAAAAAGAACATCTAGTGACATGATTGGGACCCCAGGCCCCATTTTGTTCAGTGATAGAGATATGTGAGGGGTTTCGCGGCAAGCACTGAACATCTCCAGAGCCTTTGGGCCTGCTGTAGTAAAATAAACTTCAGTAGGTTTCCTTTGGGTATGATGATTTTACTGATTCCTTTCTCGTGTGTTCAATCTACAGATAAATTTCCGCTGCAAACCTTCCTTCAGGGAGTCAGGATCCCGGAACGTACGGGAGGTGAGAGATGTGCCTGGGATACTGCCCATGTCAGACCTCTCCTTGCCTTCCCAGCTTGGTGGCGAAGGCATTGGACGCTGCCAGCCTGTTGCCCATCAGAGTGTAGGCATCATGTTGCCTCCTGGCTCCAAGAGGATGGTGCAGTGAAAGGGATGTTTCTTTGCAAGGCAGCAGCGTAGACTGGGTGTGAGGAGTAAGGAGCTTGCAGGCAGCAAATGCAGAGCATCTGCTGGTTTGCATGTTTTAAAGCTCCTGCTTCCACATGGGGAGAACCTGCAAACAGTGTTTCCTGGGAGAGTTTCTTCCCCGCCTTGTGCTGGTCCCCAAGCAAGTAGAGGAGGCTGTGGCAAATGGCAGTTCCCCAAGTCTCCCACAATTTGGAAGGGAGCAGTACAGGCTCACTTCTTGCTTTATTGCTCAACCCCAACCTGGGTGCCACAGGTACTCCAGGCAACAGTGGAGGATGCCCACAGCGGTGCTGTTGGATGCCTTTAGCTCATGTTTTAATGTCCTGAGCGTAAGCAGTGGCCTGGGACCTGCCTGCTGAGCTGCACTGGTGGAAGCACTTGTCAACCCTTGACCCTCCAGCCCCTGGAGCCCATGTGCTGTGGAGTGGGTGTGGATGGTTCAGTCACAGGCCATTTTGGTAAGAGCTGCTGCCCCCAGACCATGTTTGTGCTGGCACAGCAGACACAGCAGGGGAAGGGTACTCAAACGCAGGGCTGCCTGCTCAGAAATGCCAGTGTCACCTGGCAAGGTGAAACTTTCAACATCACTTTTAAACCTTCCTTTCTGCCTTTGCTTCTCCTGCCATGCCTTCTTCCCATGTCACTCTTAGCCCAGCTCCCTTATTTGTCCTTGACTTACGTTTTGGACTCTGCTGACAACTCTGTGCCTCCGCTCACTCTTCTGTCTCTATCTTCCTCCTCTCCAACCTCTACAAATTTTCTCTCCCTCTCCTTTCCTGGTTTTCCTCCTTTTACTCACAAGCACTGCTGCTTTATCCTGTCTTTCTACTCCTCAGATCCTCCAAGGGCCCCCTCCTATTTCCCTAGAAAGGTGCTCTTCTGGCCCTTTGTGCTGCCAGGGACACCCTTCAGGGTCAGCCCTTTCCCTATGTGTGTCTGGTGGGACCCAGAGCTGAGCTCAGGGCATAGACCCCCCCTTCTGCTGCTACTGGAGTAATGTCCACTGAAGCAAACAGGACTCTTTGTCCTCTCCCATGTACTGCACTCAGAGCGGACAGTGCTGGAGCTGATACAAATATCCTGCCAGGTTCTGCCTCTATCATCATCACGATCCCAAATGCTGTCAAGAGCAGGGTGTTGGGCCCTACCTCACTGGCTGTGAACTCACACTCCTTCTTCCGTCTTTGCTGCCCTCCCCAAAATGCCATTCCCAATCCAGGTCTGGAAGAGGAAGGAGGGATATAGGAAATGTGGTACTTCATTGCAAAGCTTCTGTCCCTCCACAATGCTCAGAGATCCCACTGCCACATTTCCCTGCCTCCACAATTGCCCCTGCAAGCCCCAGCCCTTATCCACCAGGAGCCTGCAGACAGAAAATGCCTGCAAGCAGCCTTGCTCCCTTCCCTGTGGGCAGGGGCTGGGGCAGGCTGGCAGGACTTGCCCCAGGGTGAAGAGCAGGGTAAAGTGGGTGTGGGGGGCTTTGGGGCTGCTCCTCTCCTCAGGGAACAATGTGGAGCTGGGCAGTTCATTGCTGAGCTGCGAGCACTTCCCTCTTCTTGCTGTGCGTGCAAACTGTGTCCCCCTGGGGATTTTCACTCCTTCCACCAGAGTGTTTTTCACCTGGTGCTGGGGGCATCTGGTCAGAGACGTTAGAAGATGGTGATGTGATTTATGACCATAGTAGTGCTCCACGCTACTGCTTGCCCACTCGCCATTGGGTTTGCTTTGTGTGATTCTCAGTCTTCAGTTTCCCTCGCCTACTTCCTAGTTTTTCTGGGTTTAATTCCCTCTTCTCTGAGCACCTAAATTTGGCTTCTTGCCCCCTGATTCTTTGGCTTTGCCTTCTCCCAGAGGGTTGGGGCTGGTGCATGCCAGTAGTGGGTTTGCTGCAAGAGCGGAGATCCTGTCTGGCCTGGGTCCATTCCTCCTGCCTGTTTCTGCGTTCCCTCACATGCTGGGCCTTTCACTGCCTTATTTTTTCTCTTTTTTTTTTTTTTTTCTTTTCCCTTTAGCCCATAGTTGTCCGGCATCACTGGGTACACCGGAGGCGGCAGGAAGGAAAATGCCGGCAGTGTGGCAAGGTGAGAGGGCATGTCGTTTTTTTTCTCAGCCTGAAGGACAGCTAAGATCAAACTGGAGACAAGAGCAGGGCTGGGGACTAGGGACATCCCATTCCTGTTTGGTGGCAGCAGCCTACAGCAACACCAAGACGCGTGCCCTGTTTTGTACAGTGAAGCACTACATATGTGCTTCCCACACAGAGTTGCTCTCCCCCCTGGGCCAAATCAATCCTGGATGGGACTGTCTTCCTGACATGCTTTCCTTGGGCAATGGGGACCCCCCTGCAGAGCACTGTGGCCTCCCTGGTGCCATAGTGCTGGTTGGGGCTATCTGACTGAGCTGGAGGACTTCAGCTGCAGGCACATTCTCTTTGTTAAAATCTCTCTTGGTGGTGGGAAAGTCCTATTGGATGGTAGAAAGCTGTGAGGGAATTCCCTAAGCCTCTTATCCTTCCCTCTACAGGGTTTCCAGCAGAAGTTTGCCTTCCACAGTAAAGAGATTGTAGCCATCAGCTGTTCCTGGTGCAAGCAAGCGGTGAGCAAAGCCCCCATTGAACGTCTTACCAGCTTGTTCTGCATTTAATGAGCTTTGCTTTCTGCCGGGCCCCCTGAAGCTGCTTCTCTGCAGCCTGCCCTTACAGCCACTCTTACTGGGAGAGGCTGTACTGTGATAGCTGGGAGCTCCTTTGAAAAACTTTCTCCTTGTTGCCTTCCCATTAAAAAATACCTGCATGGTTTCCTCCAGCACTCCCTTGCGCTGGCATGGAGGAGCTGGGAGGAAGAGAAGGTGGTTGTCCCCAGCGAAGTGAGCAGCTGAGGTTTTTTTTTCTCTCTCTCCCCTCTACCCCTTCCCCAGTATCACAGCAAAGTCTCATGTTTCATGCTGCAACACATCGAAGAGCCCTGCTCGCTGGGGGCTCACGCTGCTGTTGTCGTTCCTCCCACCTGGATTCTGCGGGTCCGACGGCCCCAGGTAACTCACCTCAGCACCTGTGGCTCTTTCAGAACTCCTGCTTGCCCAGCAGCTCCTCACAGAGTTTTTGGGTTTGTTTCTTTTCTCTCTAGAATCCACTGAAATCCAGTAAGAAGAAGAAGAGGACATCGTTCAAGCGGAAATCCAGCAAAAAAGGGGCCGAGGTAAGAGATGAGGGGGCAGGTAATGACCTTGTCTTGGAAGGTTGGAGGGACTGGGCAGCGAGTAGCAGGACTGGGGAACAAGGGGACTTTGCAGGGTCTGCATTGAGGTTGGGGAGGGTGAAACAGAGGGAGGCTGCCTGCTGGCAGGGCAAATCCCAGCTATAAGGCTTATGGAGTGGCTGGGGTGTTCTCTTCCTCCCACTTCTGACCATGTGTGGTGTTAGGTCTCAGCTGGAGGTGGGAGTTTGTGTCTCTCTGGGTTTGTTGAAGGACCTACGGTGTCTTTGCAGGAAGGGAGGTGGAAACCTTTTGTCATCAAGCCCATGCCAGCTCCTCTCATGAAGCCCTTGCTGGTGTTTGTGAACCCCAAGAGCGGTGGGAATCAGGTATGGCCTTGTCCTACATCTTCCTGAGAAGGCAGCTCTATGGGGGCATTGCCTTTTGGCTGCTGAAGACTCAGCATAGTTTTAGTAATGTCTCAGCTGCAGAAGAGGCAAGGCAACCTCCACGCTGCCAGTTTGCTGCCCAGCAATTCCCACCTAGGCCAGGCTTTGCCTGAGTCCCCGCAGAATGCTGTTGTCTTGGCCTGTCCTCGAGATCAGGTGTTTTCTTTCCTCTGTCCACTGGGAACTCCCTGTTCCCTGCTGAAGTCTTTCTTGTCCTCACAGGGAGCCAAGATCATCCAATCCTTCATGTGGTATCTCAACCCACGGCAAGTTTTTGATCTCAGCCAGGGCGGACCCAAGGAGGCGTGAGTACTGATGGGGGCAGCACCCTTCTCTCCCCCATCCCTACCCCAGAGACTCCTCCCCAGAGCTCTTGCCGCAGGTGGTGGAGGCCTGATGCTCTATACCTCCCTTGTGCAAAGACACCTCCAATGAGTTCATGCTTTGAGAGGCCTCTCTAGGATACCTTGCAGCCAGTCCCGGCCTTGCAGTGTTTCCTGCTGGAGGGCTGGTCTAATCTTGAGGCTGGTGGCAAAGAGACCAGCTTTAGGGTGACACTCCCAAATCTAGTTCATTATGTTCCGTTAATGTCACACGGGTCTTGTCCGCTTGCTGCATTTCGGCTTATCTATGTGTACGCAGGCTGTGGACACTCCGCTCTT